TTTGTAATCGAGGATAGATGTAGATGCCTATGGGCCGCAGCAACCACTTTGTGACAATTGTGTATGTAAACTGCCTCCACGATACAGGAGAAAAACCTACTGTGGGGGTAACGCTTTTAAAATACCACTAACTAACTAACTAACATCTTTATGCTTCTATTTTAAAACAGCTGTTCACCTCTGAGGAATAAGATGGAATGTCTCAAAAACTGTATTTATATTTTATACTGGCTCTCTATGAACTTTAGGCCCGAATACTACAGTGCGTGCACTGCCACGTACTGTCACACGGACTGCTAGGACAGAGAAGGACTCCTATCACCTAAAAAAAATTCATTTCGTCCAATCTGTCCGATTTGGCAAATAGACCCACATACGATTTGCAAATAAAAAATTATTTAAAAAAATTTATGAAAGATTGTTCTGTAGTAAAGTTATTTCTAAACGTTTGAATTCGTAGACTAGTAGGTAGTGATCTGTAGTTTGAATACTGATTCTGATAACGCCCTTGACGGGAACCACAGGGGTTTTGTTCCATGTTGTATATATACTAGGTGATTTTTTTACTCTCTGGGAAAAAATAGGGTGTAACAGGTGAACGGAACTGCCTATGGCACTGATATTTTACTTTTTAGAATACCAGTGTAAAATAGCAGCTTAATGGTGCTATGTTTCGTATGGTGAGTGTAGAGAACCGGAAAGCTTTTTTACTGGAAAGAGACATTCCATCTCAGTCCTCAGGGCTGGCAACTTGGCAACGCATCTGCATTTTGATTTTTAATTGACGATAAATGTAGATGTCTATGAGCTACAGCATCCATTTAAAATCAAGTGAAATGCGTGCTCGTTTATCACCCTTATACAATAAAAAAAAGTATATTAACATATGAAATTGATCTATCAATAAATACTACTAATTGGGTACGTATTATTTTAATTACGGTAGTTTTTAAATTATTTATTTTTAACTTTAAAAATTTGTAATTTTTTTACCGAAAGTTCATTTAAAAATAGTAGTATTTATTGACAGATCAATTTTGTAATTATGATAATGTAAAATAAAATAAAATTTGTAAAATATCAGTGCTTTATTAGATTAACTCAGTCCTGTCATAAGTTGGTCTGGGGCTTCTAGGACCCACGTTTATATGGGACTTTTAACAAAAACGAATGTGCTAACACTTTACACATCACTTGCCTAGCTTTTCGTAAAGGCGACTGATGCGCAGTGTTTGTGATTGTGTAAAGCAATAGGCTACCTAGCTCCATATAGATTTTTTTTTTAATTTTTATTAAAGAATCTTTTTCAATTTACAGCAGATTGGTCATGATAACATAATATTAAAATTTTTACTTTTTCCTAGGATTTGATATTATTTATTATTTATTTGGGTACCCATTTGCGGGTGAAGGCCTCCTCCATCTTTTTCCATTTTTGTTTATCTTATGCGAGTCTCATCCAGGTGTGTCCAGCTGTGGCCACAATGTCATCACACCACCTACGCCTGGGTCTACCGCGTGTCCGTGGCACTTCGCGAGGGTACCATTGGAGGACTCTCTCACTCCAACGTCCATCTGTAGCTCTTGCAACTTGGCCTGCCCATCTCCATTTTAATTTTATGCTACTCTGCAGATTATAATTTTGTTTCTTTATTTTTTATCTATCTCGTAATTTAAGGCCTAACATGTTCCTCTCTGTTGCACGCTGAAAGACCTGAAGTTTGTTTATTATTGTTTTTGTTAGTGCCCAGCTTTGACAGCCATAGAGTAGTGTTGGTAGAATAATAGTATCTATTGCCTTCTTTATTAGTCGCGTCGGTATAGGAGAGTTAAATATTTCTTTTAGTGACCAGTATTTTCTCCAAGCACTTTTTATTCTGCGGTCGACTTCATTCTCTGTTTGGTTTGAAAAACAAATGTTCTGCCCAATATAGACATAGCTGTCTACATACTCTATCAATATATTTCGCACCTTCGTAGGCACTCTAACGCTGTTAGTTAGGAGTCTCGTTTTTTCAGTATTCATATTGAGTCCGCACTTTCGACTCTCTATATCTAGAGATATCAGCATGTATTCTAGTTCATCATGATTTTCACTGATAAGGATAACGTCGTCAGCGAATCTTAGGTGGCTTAAATACTCGCCATTTATTTTTATGCCAATATTATGCCAATTGAGTTGTTGAAATACATGTTCTAAAATTACATACATACATAAACACTCACGCCTGTCACTCAGAGGGGTAGGCAGAGACTACAGACTTCCATTTGGCACGATCCTGACACACCTCTCTCGCCTCCTTCACATCCATACACCTCCGCATACATGCTCGTCGGTTAAGGGTACTCCTAATTTGGCCCGTTTTCAATAAATCGCCAATTTGGTCGATAAATTTTCGCCTAGGACGTCCCTTTCCGACTCTGCCATTCACTTCTGCAACATAAATTTTCTTTGTCACTCTTTCCTCATTCATTCTTTCCACATGACCAAACCACCGAAGCATTCCTTTCTTAATCCTGGTCACAACATCATCTTGCAAACCACACTCTTCTCTTATTACACAATTTCTTACCCTGTCATTAAGATTCAGCCCTAACATACTCCTTAACGACCGCATTTCTACTGCGTTCATTCTACTCTCGTGCTTCTTCTGCCACACCCAACTTTCACTACCATATGTTAAAGTAGGGACCAACACAGCATTGTGAATTGCTATACGTGCCTTTTTCGACACATTTTGACTCTTCACAATAGAGTGCAGGGCCCCATTTACTCTATTTCCCGCATTCACTCGTCGTTCTATATCCTTATCATATCTCCCATCCCTGCTAAATACGCAGCCCAAATATACAAACTCGTCTACTTGCTCGATCAACTCCCCTTCTATTCTTATTTCACAAATCGTTTTACTTTCTTCTCTTTCAAAAACCATAACCTTCGTCTTACTTGCGTTCACTTTCATACCCCTTTCTTTTAATGATCTGTTCATTAATGTAACCATCATTTGCAACTCGGCCGCCGATGACGCAAGTATAACTTGATCATCGGCGTACAAAAGGCATTTGACGGTTAACTCACCCATTCTTAATCCGCATTCTTCAACTTTCAAATTTTGCAAACAACTGTCCATAAATAGGTTGAACAGCCACGGGGAAGCTACACAGCCCTGTCTGACACCTTTATGGATGTCAAACCAGTCCGAGTAGACCCCGTTGATCCTAACACAAGCACTAGAGTCCCTATAAAGGGACTCCAATGCCCGTATCAAGCCAGCGCTCAACCCAAATGAGTTCAGTGTTTGCCATAGCACATCCCTATTCACTCTGTCATAGGCCTTTTCCAAGTCCATGAACGCACAAAAAACCTTTTGGTTTTTGGCCAAAAAACTTCTCCGCGATCATGCGCATGGAAAAGACTTGATCTGTACATCCCATTCCCTTTCTAAATCCTGCTTGCACATCCCAAATTTTTCCATCAGTTTCTTTCATGACCCTTTCAATCAGTACCTTAGCATACAGTTTTCCCACAATGCTAAGAAGGCTGATGCCACGGTAGTTTTTACAGTCCTGCTGCGACCCTTTTCCCTTATATACTGGGACTATCACGGCTTTGCACCAGTCTACCGGTACCCGCTTCAGTTCCCAGCATGAATTAAACAAGGTGTGCAGCAGGCCTGCCACCACTTCCTCTCCAGCCCTTAGCATTTCGAGTGAAACTCTATCATATCCGGCAGCCTTACCTGCTTTCATGCTTTTCATTGCTTTCATTATTTCACCTACACTAATCTCGCTACCTCTTTCCTCTTCCTTCGGAATTTCTACTTCACTTAGTACCCACGTTGTCTCCTCACTCATAAACACGCTTTCTAAAATTGCGTTAAATAAATACGGTGAGATAGGATCCCCTTGTCTCACTCCTTTCTGAATATTAAATGGTGTTCATTTTCTCTCTAATTTAACCACAGCCTTGCTCTGTTTATATATCTCTTTCAGCATTTTGATATATATAATATGTACTCCTTGTTCTTGTAGTGTCAGCCATAGGTATGTATGGTGTATAGAGTCGAATGCCTTTGAATAGTCTACAAAAGCGATTTAGAGTTTTTTTGTTGTATTCATTATATCTTTCAATGATTTGTGTAACAGTGAATATGTGATCATTTGTAGAGAAGCCCGCTCTAAAACCTGCTTGTTCTCTCGGCTGACTTTCTTCTAAAGTTTTTAAAATTCCTTTTAGTAACAAGCTGCTGAATAATTTATATATTGTCTGAAGTAAACTTATTGGCCTATAATTGCCCATATCTGATGGATCTCCTTTTTTGTATAGAAGAGTAATTATAGCCGTTTGCCACTCAGAGGGTATCAATTCTTTTTCAAGGATTTGATTGAATAAAATTTTTAAGATAAGTGTAAAGGGCTCTTTGATTGCTTTTAATATGTCATTTGTTATTTGGTCTTCTCCGGGACTTTTTAGTGTTTTAGTTGTTGTATGGCATAGCTTAATTCGCATTCGCTCACAAAATACCAGCGTAAAATAGCAGCTTAATACTACTGTGTTTCGTATGGTGAGTGTAGCGGTCCGGAGACCCTTTTTTACTGGTGACAAAGCATCTCGGTTTTGATTCTTAATGAATAAATGTAAATGTATATGGGCCACGGCATCCACTTACCCTCAGGTGGACTGTGTGCTCGTTTGTTAGCCTTATTCTATTAAAAAAAGGATCTGCTGCCTATCTCCTGATTTGTTTACCTCTGTCACCTATTACGACATCTACGGGGGTGTAAGTAAGTAATTAAGTAAGTAATCTATGGGCACTACACTGTTGTAAAAACCACTAAATAATGTTTTTTCAAAACCACTAAATAATGTTTTTCAATTGCCAACAGGAGGGCCTTACGATTCGTGGCCTTACGAGTATGATTATTTTAACCTAGACAGACAGAACTATTATTGGCCTCCACAAAACCAGATATACAACCGCCCGTACATCGCTTATGAAATGTATCCACAGTATCCACTGAACGAAGAACAGTACTACTTTGTGGTACCAGGCGCTGATGGTGAACAATGGACTAGCGATACTTTCACCAGAAGTGCCAACGACGAGCAACAGAAGAGCTTACAAGACTTGCAATCATTCAGATTCACGGATAACGGTAAATTTGTAAAAGGACTTGAAGCCTTTTCACAAAACAGTTTCAAATACCAAAACAGTGAAAATGCAGCAACATCTTCGACATCGAACAACATGAATGGAATACAGAGTGATCAGTACATCGCCGAAAATAACTTCGTGACCCAATCCAAATCTGACAGTAGATCGCAAGGTAACAAAAACTTTTCCATGAAAGACACTGGTAGTTCAAATAATGCAAACACTATACATGGACAAAACGAACCAGCAACACCAACCTCATTAACTGGTTCTAAAGGACAAGACGGTTTAATAACAATTAACACGCAAGGAGGGTTAAATACTTCAAGCAATTCACAAGGATTACATGTTCCTGGAACTTTCTTACTTCTTCTTACGTCATCATCAGAAGGTTCGGATGGAAAGGACGGTTCAAAGATGCTAGAAGGATCAGACACACCAAGACCTCCACCAGAAGAAAATGTGCCTGGAGCTCCTATGTCTTCAGAAGGATCGAACTCTCCAAGACATCCACAAGGACCAAATGGGTCTGGAGCTCATACGTTACCAGGAGGATCGATAGCTCCAATCCATCCAAAAGGACCAAATGTGCCTGGAGCTCCTACGTCACCAGAAAGATCGAACGCTCTAAGCCATCCACAAGAACCAAATATGCCTGGAGCACCTACGTTACAAGGAGGATCGAACGCTCCAAGCCCTACTAAAGGACCAAATGTGACTGGAGCTCCTACGTCACCAGGAAGACCGAACGCTCCAAGCCATCCACAAGGACCAAATGTGACTGGAGCTCCTACTTCACCTGGAGGATCGAACGCTCCAAGCCCTTCAAAAGGACCAAATGTGCCTGGAGCTCCTACGTCACCAGGAAGATCGAACGCTCCAAGCCATCCACAAGGACCGATCGTGCCTGGAGCTCTTACGTTACCAGAAGGATCGATCGCTCCAAGCTATCCACAAGGACCAAATGTGCCTGGAGCTCCTACGTCTTCAGAAGGATCGAACGCTCCAAGTCATCCACAAGGACCAAATGGGTCTGGAGCTCACACGTTACCTGGAGGATCGATTGCTCCAAGCCACCCACAAGGACCAAATGTGCCTGCGGCTCCTGCGCCACCAGAAGGATCGAACGCTCCAAGCCATCCACAAGGACCAAATGTGCCTGCGGCTCCTACGCCTTCAGGAAGATCGAACGCTCCAAGCCATCCACGAGGACCAAATGTGCCCGGGGCTCCTACGCCTTCTGGGGAATCGAACACTCGAAGCCATCCACAAGGACCAGATGTGCCTGGACTTCCTACGCCTTCAGGAGGATCTAACGCTCCAAGCCATCCACAAGGACCAAATGTGCCTGCGGCTCCTACGCCTTCAGGAGGATCGAACGCTCCAAGCCATCCACCAGGACCAAATGTGCCTGCGGCTCCCACGCCTTCAGGAGGATCTAACGCTCCAAGCCATCCACCAGGACCAAATGTGCCTGCGGCTCCTACGTCTTCAGGAGGATCGAACGCTCCAAGCCATCCACAAGGAACAAATGTGCCCGGGGCTCCTACGTCACCGGGAGAATCGAACGCTCCAAGCCATCCACAAGGACCAATGCATTGAAGTTTCTACGTTACAAGGAGGATCAAACACTTTAGCCCCATTCCGGGAGCTCCTACGTCTTCAGGAGGATCAAACGCTCCAAGCCATCCACAAGGACCAAATGTGCCTGCGGCTCCTACGCCTTCAGAAGGATCGAACACTCCAAGCCATCCACAAGGACCAAATGTGCCTGGAGCTCCTACGTTACCTGGAGGATCGATCGCTCCAAGCCATCCAGAAGGACCAAATGTGCCTGGAGCTCCTACGTCACCAGGAAGATCTAACGCTCCAAGCCATCCACAAGGACAAAATGTGCCTGGAGCTTCTACGTCACCTGGAGGATCGATCGCTCCAAGCCATCCAGAAGGACCAAATGTGCCTGGAGCTCCTACGTCACCAGGAAGATCGAACGCTCCAAGCCATCCACAAGGACCAAATGTGCCTGGAGCTCCTACGTCACCAGGAGGATCGAACTCTCCAATCCATCAACAAGGACCAAATGTGCCCGGAGCTCCTACGCCTTCAGGAGAATCGAACGCTTCAAGCTATCCACAAGGACCTAATGCATCTGAAGTTTCTACGTTACAAGGAGGATCAAACACTTTCAGCTATCCTCAAAAACCAAATATTCCTGGTGCTCCTACGCCTTCGGGAGGATCGAACGCTCCAAGCCATCCACAAGGACCAAATGTGCCTCACGGTGCCGGAGCTCCTACGTCTTCAGGAGGATCGAACGCTCCAAGCCATCCACAAGGACCAAATGTGCCTGCGGCTCCAACGTCACCAGGAAGATCGAACGCTCCAAGCCATCCACAAGAACCAAATATCCCTGGTGCTCCTACGTCTTCTGAAGGATCGAACGCTCCAAGCCATCCACAAGGACCAGATGTGCCTTCGGTCTCCTACGCCTTCAGGAGGATCGAACGCTCCAAGCCATCCACAAGGACCAAATGTGCCTGCGGCTCCTACGCTTTCAGGAGAATCGAACGCTCCAAGCCATCCACAAGGATCAAATATGCCTGCGGCTCCTACGTCACCAGGAGGATCGAACGCTCCAAGCCATCCACAAGGACTAAATGTGCCTGGAGCTCCTACGTCACCAGGAGGATCTAACGCTCAAAGCCATCAACAAGGACTACATGTTTCTGGAGCTCCAACGTCACCGGGAGGATCGAACGTTCCAAGCGATCCACAAGGACCAAATGTATCTGAAGTTTCTACGTTACAAGGAGGATCAAACACTTTAAGCTATCCTCAAAAACCAAATATTTCTGGTGCTCCTACGCCTTCAGGAGGATCGAACACTCCAAGCCATCCACAAGGACCAAATGTGCCTGCAGCTCCTACGCCTTCAGGAGGTCGAACGCTCCAAGCCATCCACAAGGACCAAATGTGCCTGCGGCTCCTACGTCCTCGGAAGAATCGAACGCTCCAAGCCATCCAAAAGGACCAAATGTGCCTGCAGCTCCTACGCCTTCAGGAAGGATCGAACGCTCCAAGCCATCCACAAGGACCAAATGTGCCTGCGGCTCCTACGCCATCAGGAGGATCGAACGTTCCAAGCCATCCACAAGGACCAAATGTGCCCGGAGCTCCTACGCCTTCAGGAGAATCGAACGTTCCAAGCCATCCACAAGGACCATATGTGCCCGGGGCTCCTACGCCTTCAGGAGGATCGAACGCTCCAAGCCATCCACAAGGACAAAATGTGCCTGCGGCTCCTACGCCTTCAGAAGGATCGAACACTCCAAGCCATCCACAAGGACCAAATGTGCCTGGAGCTCCTACGTTACCTGGAGGATCGATCGCTCCAAGCTATCCACAAGGACCAAATGTGCCTGGAGCTACTACGTCACCAGGAGAATCGAACGCTCCAAGCCATCCACATGAACCATATGTGCCTGGAGCTCCTACGTCACCTGGAGGATCGATCGCTTCAAGCCATCCACAAGGACCAAAGTGCTGTACTCCCACCTCACCAGGAAATACGCTCCAAGCCATCCACAAGGACCAAATGTGCCCGGGGCTCCTACGCCTTCAGGAGGATCGAGTCCAAGATCCACAAGGACAAATGTGTCGGCTCGCCTTCAGGAGGATCGAACGCTTCAAGCTATCCACAAGGACCTAATGCATCTGAAGTTTCTACGCTTACAAGGAGGATCAAACACTTTCAGCTATCCTCAAAAACCAAATATTCCTGGTGCTCCTACGCCTTCAGGAGGATCGAACGCTCCAAGCCATCCACAAGGACCAAATGTGCCTGGAACTCCTACGTCACCAGGAAGATCGATCGCTCCAAGCCCTCCAAAAGGACAAAACTTGCCGGGAGCTCCTACGTCATCAGGAAGATCGAACGCTCCAAGCCATCCACAAGGACCAAATGTGCCTGCGGCTCCTACGTCACCAGGAAGATCGAACGCTCAAAGCCATCCACAAGAACCAAATATCCCTGGTGCTCCTACGTCTTCTGAAGGATCGAACACTCCAAGCCATCCACAAGGACCAGATGTGCCTTCGTTTCCTACGCCTTCAGGAGGATCGAACACTCCAAGCCATCCACCAGGACCAAATGAACCTGCGGCTCCTACGCTTTCAGGAGGATCGAACGCTCCAAGCCATCCACAAGGATCAAATATGCCTGCGGCTCCTACGTCACCAGGAGGATCGAACGCTCCAAGCCATCCACAAGGACTAAATGTGCCTGGAGCTCCTACGTCACCGGGAAGATCTAACGCTCAAAGCCATCAACAAGGACTACATGTGTCTGGGGCTCCAACGCTCACCGGAAGGATCGAACGCTCCAAGCCATCCACAAGGACCTAATGTATCTGCAGTTTCTACGCTTACAAGGAGGATCGAACACTTCAAGCTATCCTCAAAAACCAAATATTCCTGGTGCTCCTACGTCCTTCGGGAGGATCGAACGTTCCAAGCCATCCACAAGGACCAAATGTGCCTGGAGCTCCTACGTCTTCAGAAGAATCGAACGCTCCAAGCCATCCACATGAACCATATGTGCCTGGAGCTCCTACGTCACCTGGAGGATCGATCGCTTCAAGCCATCCACAAGGACCAAACGTGCCTGTAGCTCCCACCTCACCAGGAAAATCGAACGCTCCAAGCCATCCACAAGAACCAAATGTGCCCGGGGCTCCTACGCCTGCAGGAGGATCGAACGCTCCAAGCCATCCACAAGGACAAAATGTGCCTGCGGCTCCTACGCCTTCAGAAGGATCGAACACTCCAAGCCATCCACAAGGACCAAATGTGCCTGGAGCTCCTACGTTACCTGGAGGATCGATCGCTCCAAGCTATCCACAAGGACAAAACTTGCCGGGAGCTCCTACGTCATCAGGAAGATCGAACGCTCCAAGCCATCCACAAGGACCAAATGTGCCTGGAGCTCTCACGTCACCAGGAAGATCGAACACTCCAAGCCATCCACAAAAACCAAATGTGCCTGGAGCTCCTACGTCTTCAAAAGAATCGAACGCTCCTAGCCATCCACATGAACCAAATGTGCCCGGGGCTCCTACGCCTTCAGGAGGATCGAACGCTCCAAGCCATCCACAAGGACAAAATGTGCCTGCGGCTCCTACGCCTTCAGAAGGATCGAACACTCCAAGCCATCCACAAGGACCAAATGTGCCTGGAGCTCCTACGTTACCTGGAGGATCGATCGCTCCAAGCTATCCACAAGGACAAAACTTGCCGGGAGCTCCTACGTCATCAGGAGGATCGAACGCTCCAAGCCATCCACAAAAACCAAATGTGCCTGGAGCTCCTACGCCTTCAAAAGAATCGAACGCTCCTAGCCATCCACATGACACCAAATGTGCCCGGGGCTCCTACGCCTTCAGGAGGATCGAACGCTCCAAGCCATCCACAAGGACAAAATGTGCCTGCGGCTCCTACGCCTTCAGAAGGATCGAACACTCCAAGCCATCCACAAGGACCAAATGTGCCTGGAGCTCCTACGTTACCTGGAGGATCGATCGCTCCAAGCTATCCACAAGGACCAAATGTGCCTGGAGCTACTACGTCACCAGGAGAATCGAACGCTCAAAGCCATCCACAAGAACCATATGTGCCTGGAGCTCCTACGTCACCAGGAGGATCGAACTCTCCAAGCCATCCACAAGGACTACATGTGCCTGGAGATCCTACGTCACCAGGAGGATCGAACGCTCCAAGCCATCCACAAGGACTAAATGTGCCTGGAGCTCCTACGTCACCAGGAGGATCGAACGCTCCAAGCTATCCACAAGGACCTAATGTATCTGAAGCTTCTACGTTACAAGGAAGATCAAACACTTCAAGCTATCCTCAAAAACCAAATATTCCTGGTGCTCCAACGCCTTCAGGAGGATCGAACGCTCCAACATGCCATGTTTCCACTCAAGCTATCCACAAGGACCAAATGTGCCTGCGGCTCCTACGTCTCTATCACCAGGAGGATTGAACGCTCCAAGCCATCCACAAGAACCATATGTGCCTGGAGCTCCTCCGTCACCTGGAGGATCGATCGCTTCAAGCCATCCACAAGGACCAAACGTGCCAGTGGCTCCCACCTCACCGGGAAGATCGAGTGCTCCAAGCCATCCACAAGAATCAAATGTGCCCGGGGCTCCTACGCCTTCAGGAGGATCGAACGCTCCAGGCCATCCACAACGACAAAATGTGCCTGCGGCTCCTACGCCTTCAGAAGGATCGAACACTCCAAGCCATCCACAAGGACCAAATGTGCCTGGAGCTCCTACGTTACCTGGAGGATCGATCGCTCCAAGCTATCCACAAGGACCAAATGTGCCTGGAGATACTACGTCACCAGGAGAATCGAACGCTCAAAGCCATCCACAAGGACCAAATGTGCCTGGAGCTCCTCCGTCACCTGGAGGATCGATCGCTGCAAGCCATCCACAAGGACCAAACGTGCCAGTAGCTCCCACGCTCACCGGGAAGATCGAGTGCTCCAAGCCATCCACAAGCACCAAAGGAGCCCGGGGCTCCTACGCCTTCAGGAGGATCGAACGCTCCAAGCCATCCACAAGGACAAAATGTGCCTGCGGCTCCTACGCCTTCAGAAGGATCGAACACTCCAAGCCATCCACAAGGACCAAATGTGCCTGGAGCTCCTACGTTACCTGGAGGATCGATCGCTCCAAGCTATCCACAAGGACCAAATGTGCCTGGAGCTACTACGTCACCAGGAGAATCGAACGCTCAAAGCCATCCACAAGAACCATATGTGCCTGGAGCTCCTACGTCACCAGGAGGATCGAACTCTCCAAGCCATCCACGAGGACTACATGTGCCTGGAGATCCTACGTCACCAGGAGGATCGAACGCTCCAAGCCATCCACAAGGACTAAATGTGCCTGGAGCTCCTACGTCACCAGGAGGATCGAACGTTCCAAGCTATCCACAAGGACCTAATGTATCTGAAGCTTCTACGTTACAAGGAGGATCAAACACTTCAAGCTATCCTCAAAAACCAAATATTCCTGGTGCTACAACGCCTTCAGGAGGATCGAACGCTCCAAGCCATCCACAAGGACCAAATGTGCCTGCGGCTCCTACGCCTTCAGAAGGATCGAACACTCCAAGCTATCCACAAGGACCAAATGTGCCTGCGGCTCCTACGTCACCAGGAGGATTGAATGCTCCAAGCCATCCACAGAGACCAAATGTGCCTGGAGCTCCTACGTCACAAGGAGGATCTAACGCTCCAAGCCATCCACAAGGACCAAATGGGCCTGGAGCTCGTACGTCACCAGAGAATCGAACGCTCCAAGCCATGTACAAGGGCCAAATGTGTCTGGAGCTCCTACATCACCAGGAGGATCTACCGCTCAAAGCCATCCACAAGGACTACATATGCCTGGAGATCCTACGTCACCAGGAGTATCGAGCGCTCCAAGCCATCCACAAGGACCAATTGTACCTGGAGCTCCTATGTCACCAGAAGGATCGAACGCTGCAAGCCATCCACAAGGACCAAATATGCCTGGAGCTCCTACGTGTTCAGGAGGATCGAACGCTCCAAGCAATCCACGAGGACCAAATATGCCTGGAGCTCCTACGTCGCCAGGAGAATCGAACACTCCAAGCCATCCACAAGGAACAAATGCGACTAGGAATCCTACATTGGGAGGTTCAAATACTCCAAGCCTTCCACAAGGACCGTCTAACACTCCAAGCAACCCACAAGGACCAAATAAAGCTGGATTTTCCACATCATCTGGAGGATTTAAGGAACGAGGCAGTACAGCAAAACCTTGGACGACGGGGGAATCTAAGTCTCCAAGCTACTACAAGGACCAAATGTGTCTGGAGCTCCTACGTCTTCAGGAAGGTCAAATACTCCAAGCAATCCACAAGAACCAAATGTGGCTGAAAGTCCTACGTCACCAGGAGGATCAAATACTCCAAGCTATCCGCAAGTACCAAAAATGCCTGGAGCTCTTACGTCACCAGAAGGACCTAAGTGACAAGTTAGTCCAACAAAACCATGCACATCGGGAGAATCAAAAATACATGGATCATATTTGTCTAGTACTCCAGTCTCTCCAAGAGGGCATACGGGATCAGAAGGCTTGAAGCTCCCAGTATAATTAGGAACTAATTGTTGGTAATAAGGAATAAGTTATATAAAAATATCTATAACAATAATAACCGGCGCACTGGTGGACACGTTTATGTGCCATACCCAAGCAAAGCTAAGTAGGATAAGGTCGCTGTTTCTGGGGTGGCTAATATTTTTTATCAATATTTTAAAGGCCATTCCCACAGAATAAATAAATAAGGTAGTAATACTATAACGTAATATTGTAAATAAGGAGTGCAGAGGTAAGTACAGACTGTGTAAGTTTCCGTAGAAAACCGTTAAATAAGGGTGGCGCCACTATAGCTACGGGGTAAATTTTAAAGAACGCGCCGAAAAATATTAGTGTTATAGACGACTATATTTACTAAATAAAATTATTTTAGATTTTAGAGCTACTGAGCAGTTTAGCAGCACACTTCATACCGTATACAACTGCTAAGTTCATTTCATACCCTGTAGCTACTCGAGCGCTGTTGTGGAGAGTTTTTGAGCTGTTATTTACTGCTTACAGATGCCCACTTTTTCAACTATTCTATAGTAGCCGACACGAGTCGTGAGCACAGATAAACTGTGGTGGGAGGTAGGTAAACTGTCGGGCAAAATTATTGGGTACCTTTATTATTTCAATTCGTAATTGAATATTTTCGCCGACATTTATCAAAATGTTCACTCGAACACATCAACTTTTACTTTGATACAGTAATGTTGCAGATATTCGTGTCCGTTATTTTGTTATCTACTGTAAAGTATTTAATGTATACCTGGTGGCTAGAATTGATTATTTTATTAAGAAGAAGGAAGAGGTGATATGCCTTCCATAAAATCTGGTGTTGCGGTGCGCCGTACATTAGCTACTGAGACATTAGTCGCCTCAGCAGTCTGTTTATATACGTCTATGACGTTTTTAGCAGTACCTAATTTTTTCATGTAATTAAATACTCAATAGACCATTTGTCGGGATTGTCTATTTAACACCGAATTTTTCCTTCTCTGCATTTTTAGACCAAAATCTGAACACTCAAATTATAACAACAAAAATAATTAAAAACAACAAATAACAAAAACATGTAGTAACAAGGAATACACAAACAACAATTAACAACGAGGTAACAAAAACAATTAACGAAAATAAACTAATTAAAAAATGTATCACTAAAATTATTGCTCTGAAGTGTACGGAAGCCGAATTATACGTTCTAAACCAATAGACGAAGAGAATCGACTGATGAACCAATCACGTTGAACGTCAGTGTGGTCAACGTCGTATCGACCAATAAAAAGTGTGCTCACGACTTATGTCGGCAACTATACTATGGAAGTTGGTACTCCTTGCTTCTACACTCCATAGTTAGCATAGTATTTATGTTTTTGTCAGTAGAGAAATTTAATCTGGCAGCAGAAATACATAATAATTGGTCAGCAAGCCATGGCTAGCAAACATTATTAAATTAATCGGAAATTTTTGCCTTCCTGGACGGCTGTATTTTTTTAGTACAGCGTATTATATTAGCTGCAATGATTGACTCATGTTTTCAAATTTTGATAACAATATGTAGGGGGGGGGGGGGGAGTGCAGGAGAAGCCCCCCTACACTTATCCCTTGCGGAAATGTATTATAGTTTATGAGTAATTTTTTTTTGTAAAATCAGTTTGTGATTTTATCACTTTTTAGATAGAAATATTGACCCAAAGTTACTTCTGCAACAGCTTCGGCGTTGCGGGAAATGGATCCTATTCGCGCTTTATTGCTCGCCTTCGGCGACCAGCCTCAGCCGCCGTGGCTGCCATTTGCTACGGCGGGCGAGGGCTGCATTACCTCCGCGCCTACGGCTTTACAAAAATATACTAGGGGTAGGGCAAACAAGACTACGTGGAGTCAGGGCGTGCTGATGCGGTTTTAGAACAGATTCGACCAATCTTATCTAAAAAGTCAGGTTGCCCCAAACTCTACTATGATAGTAGTAAATGAAACAATGTAATTTGAATTGTTATAATTTTAATTAATACATAATTTTAATTATAATAATAAAATACAGCGCATATAGACATATTTTGTTTCCTAATCAATAGAGAATCTTGCTGATCAAGTAGTTATTTTTTACTAGTTATATGTTATTTTAAGCTGCCTATTTATGATTAAATTACTGAACATTATCAAGATCATTTGCGAAAATAAAATTTCCGAATGTTTTTTCAATTGCAAACAGAATCTTTGAATGCTAACCAAATTATTTAAATTCAATAAAAATCTGTAATATGCTTCATATTTTTTTAAATAAATGCAATGAAAGGAAGTGCTTTGAGGTTTTATTAACATCATGCCTTGTTTATTAGAGTGGGCCTTTATTAATTTAAAACTACAGTTTCGCGTTCTATACTAATTGACTTTTTAACTTAAGGAAAACAAAATGGTTTAATAGGTGAACGAAGTAGAAGTTTATTGCATGGGTATTTTCCTATTATTTTAACTTAGCATTGCGTGCCCTTGCAAATCCGATTAGAAAAAATTTCTAACTGTATAACACTTTTACATTGCCCGATTTTTCTATATTAGGGGTTTCAATACTAGTTTTAGGATATAATATAAGGTTGGCAATCCTACTGTTATGTACATCGCCTTTGTTTGCAATGTTACTGCCTGTTTAATTTGTTGTACATTTTTTTATAGGAGAGAGGAAACGAGCATGAGGCTCACCTGATGGTAAGTGATTACCGTCGCACATGAACAACTGTAACACCATGGCAGATGCGTTGCCATACAATAGAGTTCGATAACATAAACTAAAATGGTCAACCAGCATTAATAATCAGTAGGACAGGCCAGCATGCAGTCGACAATCATTACGTAATTTACATTTGTCCGTGTTATACTTGATTTGTAGAATAAACTTCAATGCAAAAAAAAATTATACGCGGTAGAGCCACGCTACAGTTATATTAGTAGTATAGTTGTAGCACGAATGGGTCAGCTCGACCGGGGAAGGACTACGCTCTCACAGAATACTTGCGTAAAAAAGTAACACAATGCTGCTGTTTCGTATGATGAGGGAAGAGAACTGGAGACCCTTTATACTGGAAACGAGGCTTTCCATCTTAGTCCTCTCTGGTGACAACACATCTGCATTTTAATTTGTAATCGAGGACAGATGTAGATGTCTATGGGCCGCAGCAACCACTTACTATCAGGTAGACTGTGTGCTCGTTTGTCACACTATCCTTTAAAAAAAATTAAAAAATGTAAATTCTTCTAAAACCCATTATCTCTATCCACTTTCACTATATCTTTTTACAACATTGTAAACAAATAACCAAAATAAGTAAAAATAAAATTTGAGCCTATATACATCCCACCCAGGCAGGGTCGCCAGATGGTCGAGATTCGTATGGATTCTCCCGACTTTTTAAATGATCTCCTGACTCCCGATAAAACTCAAAATCTCCAGACAAACTGTTACTCTTCAGATCACAGATGATTTTGATTTAATAAAAGCTGAGTTAGTAATAAGACTAAACTTTGAAGTAAATTGTTGAATTTCTATATCTACCGAATACTACTAAAGGATCCACATTAAATGAACTCAGTTTTTACGGAATTTATCGCGTATATTTAACTTTTTTAATTACCCGACGTTTCGAGAGCTTTACAGCACCCATGGTCACGGGAAGGACTGAGATGTTCAACGTCCAGCTGTCATAGTTAACCGCGGTTACCATAGATTAAAATTTAACTTTTGTTCCGATCTGACAGATCGGATTATTAAAAAGTTAAATATACGCGATAAATTCCGTAAAAACTAGTATTATTTCAATAAATTGTTGAATTTCAAATCTACCGAATACTACTAAAGGATCCACATTAATGAACTCAGTAAAGTCCAATGTCAAATAGATGTAGCAACATACAAATTAAGTAAGTATAAAGAACCGGAGACCTATTTTAATGGAAACGAGACATTCCGTCGTTATCCTCGAGGTTTTAACAAATCTACATTTTGATTCTACATCAGGGATAGATGTAGATGTCTATGGGCCATAGCACCCACTTACCATCAGGTGGACTGTGTGCTCGTTTGCTTGTGCACCCTTATTCTATTAAAAAATCGCAATTTGCGAGTATTTTTCCCCGGAAAATACCAAATAAAAAAACAGGATAAAGTTAAAAAATTTATTTTATTAAAATTTCACGCATTTAAACTTCACCGTTTGCTTGCAAAATACTTCATAATTTAACATAGGTACTTGATTTAATTTCATATTCAACTTCGTACACTGTGCGGCATACATCCATAACTGAAACAAATTAAATAACGAATGTCAAATATTAGTTTAAAAAAAAAAACTAAATCATTAGGTAGTTGACATCATTTAAAATTTTAGATAAAATTGTATAATGTAACTGGCGCATTCGATTTCACCATAAGAAGCACAGCTACTATTTCACGCTGGTATTCTGTCAGAGCGTGGTCCTGCCCTGGTCCAGCTGATCCATTCGTGCTACAACTAAAATATAGCTGCAGCGTGGCTCTACCACGTGGTATTTTGCCAGGGTAATAAAAAAAGTTCCAACATTTATGGATTAATATGTGATGGTAGCCATATCTTCTTTATATATATATATATATATATATATATATATATACCCTTATATTATATACAAGGTGTAAGTGTATATACCGTTGTCACTAAAACCATAGGTAGTTGGCTTTAATATAAACATATTTATCCGAATTTAAAAAAACGCTATTTTCTTTCATAAAATTTAAAAAGTTTCTGTCCGACACGGTCCGTAAATTCATGGATACCCTATGCGCCCGACTGACGTAATCACTGTAAAGATCACCGCCCGCCCTAGCTGCCTACACAACCTTCCAATAAAAACACAATAGGTACACATAACCTGCGATGTAACTTTTCCTTCATACTTTGATCTCAGCTTAGGACAGGAAAAAACTGACGAATTAAGGAAAAATTGAGATTTTACTAAAAAAATGTTATTTTTCATTGAATTTAGGTTCCATAAGTGAAACCAAACTACTGGTTTCAAGGGTAACTGTGTTCACACTAACACACTGTATATATGTATCTCACGTAATTTATATATATCTTAATATATATATAACGTGTCACGTTGTTTGTCCGCGATGGACTCCTAAACTACTCAACCGATTTTAATGAAATTTGCAGAACGTGTGCAGTTTGGTCCAACTTGAGAGATAGGGTAGTTTTTTTTTCCCATGAAAGACCCATAATTATTTTTTTTGCGAATTTAAGGATTTTTAATAGGACATAACAAAGGGTCGTCGAAAGGGGCAGAACAACGTCTGCCTGGCAAGTTAGTATATTATATATTTTACCAATAAAAAAAATCTACAATTAATAATACACATTATACACAGCGCAAACCACGGAGGTTAACAATTTTGTTTTTTGTTTATGTTGCCGTGCTTGAGTTCGATACGCTTACAAAAAAAACAAAAAAAAAGAAGAAAAAAAACAAAGTAGGTACTTATTAATAAAATATTGATCTTTGCTAGAATCTAGCAGTGTAATTTTAAGAATCAATATTCACTATTGCTTTATTGGAAACTTATTTATTTTTTTCGTCAAGAAAGAACGGTAACTTTAAAACAATTATCGCATTTAATTTTATCTTTTTAATTCCCGTCGTTTACCGGGTGTTTTCTACTATCTACTATTTATATCGTAGAAGTGATTTATATGCCTAAATCACAATGGATACACTAAAATATTTTTATAACAATACATATTTTAGAACTTTACAAAATCTGCCCCTCCATCCATTACAGCCTATAAAAGTCCACTGTTGAACATAGGCCTCCCCCATAGATTGCCTCTTGAGGGGGATTTTGGCATAGTTGCCACGCTTGGCAAGCGGGGCGACAACTGCAGTTTTATATTATTTTGATTTGCTCTCAGGAAAATGCTGCTGCTCATATGTTTTTTTTTTTCGATAGAATCAGGCGTTACTTTGCGAAAGTCTATTATAGTAAAGATATTAATCGATTAATTCGCAACCTTCCGCTTAATTAAATACAATGATGTGTCTTACCTGGATTGAAGAGCACCTCCCGCCCTCCCTCAATTGCGTGCACTAATCCCGTCACCACTAGTCCCAGCACCACTACTCCCGGCACCACTACTCTCCAACACCACTATTCTAGGAAAGACACCTCATCGACGATAATACGACACGTGTTTCGCCTTTACACGAGGCATCGTCAGGTGATGTAGACTCTACGGCGGCTGACCGCTATTAGCGGTTAGCCGCCGTGGAATCTACATACGTACATAGTGCTGGGATTAGTGGTGACTGGATTAGTGCACGCAATTGAGGGAGGGCGGGAGGTGCTCTTCAAACCAGGTAAGACACATCATTGTATTTAATTAAGCGGAAGGTTGCGAATTAATCGATTAATACCTTATTGTTTTATTTTCCTTTAAAAAAATATTGAGTACAACGAATATGTAGAGGGAAGGAGTTCCACTCGCGTGGAATACTTGGTGGAATTACTTTAAACAAGAAAATGTTGTTCCTTTCATTAACATATCTTTGTTGGTGTACTTTATGTGTGTAATTTTTTTTTAAATTACGGGACGATTCCCATAAAACATTTCTCATAGAATAAGTGTGACAAACGAGCACACAGTCCACCTGATGGTAAGTGGATCTGTGGCCCAAGACATCTCATTTTTCTTAAGAAAAAGTTGAGTACGACGAATACCAGAGAGAAGGAGTTCCTCGCACCGTGGAATACTTGGTGGAATTACTTTAAACAAGAAAATGTTGTTCCTTTCATTAACATATCTTTGTTGGTGTACTTTATGTGTATTTTTTAATCGGGGTGTTCCCATAAAACATTTCTCATAGAATAAGTGTGACAAACGAGCACACAGTCCACCTGATGGTAAGTGGATGCTGCGGTCCATAGACATCTACATTTATCCTCGATTAAGAATCAAAATGCAGATGCATATTGTCACCCTAAAGAACTTAAATGAAAAGCCTCGTTTCTAGTAAAAAGGTTCTACAGATACAGTTCACTCTCACCATACAATACACAGCAGCATTAAGCTGCTATTTCATGCTGGTATTCTGAGTGTGAGCCTTCCCTGGTTGGGCCGACCCATTTGTGCTACATCTATATAACTGCAGCGTGGCTCTACAACATATAATAATTCCTATTAATAATTTCAATTAGACACACTGCTAAATTATGTCTACTGATACATAATCGATAAAAGTTAGACTACAAGTGAGCCTTTACCACTGAAAGCAAGCAGTAACATCACTTACGTTAAACTTTTAACCAAAGTAAGAATAGAATTCACAACAATCAATGAGTCAGAAGGGTTCTAGAGTGGCAACGTCGTACTGATAAGCACGTCGTTTGTGCAGCCCCCCACCAGATGGAGACTGAAGATGACTTGATAATACATCCACGTTTACAATGGTGGCAAGATTACAATGGTTACAGACAGTCCTATGCAGGGCATGTATGAGTGTATGAGTGTTGCTGGCATGTCCAGAGGTCGCCGCATACAGGGCTACACATCACTCTCGAAGATTGTTGGCAACATCAAGGGACTGAAGTGAACTTCTTCAAGATTTCATGGCTCGAAATTCCTGCCCACATGCAGAATACGTTAGATGTGGTTAGACGTGGAGTTGCGGAAAATAGTCCGTCGTAAACTAAACTTATTTTTATAGAATAAGGATGACAAACAAGCACACAGTCCACCTGATAGTAAGTGGATGCTGTGGCCCATAGACATCTACATTTATCTTTGATTAAGAATCAAAACGCAGATGCATTGTTACTTCTCAGGACTAAGACGGAATGCCTTGTTTCCAGTAAAAGGGGTCTCCGGTTCTCTACACTCACCATACGAAACAGCATTAAGCTGCTATTTTACGCTGGAATTCTGTGAGAATGTGGTACTACCCCAGTAGACTCGACCCATTCGTGCTACAACCATAATATAGCTGCAGCGTGGCTCTACTACGTATATAATTATATATACAACTAATCTAAAGGCCTTCATTCAGCTGTGGATTTATCTTGACGATGATGGTGATGATAAAAGAGTTGAAAATGAAAACAGCTTCTCACCTCACTCTACTGCAGACACATCCAAATTAACATTAACATAACTGGCCCCCATGTTTTCTTTATGGCGAGGAGACATTACATGTTTCTTTGCGTTCTCACCCTCCTCTAAATCAGAGTCACACACCCCACATTTCAATTTCCCAAAGTCATAATATACATATTTGTTCTTCGCCAGCATATTTATATTGTGTTTCAGTTCCAAGTAGAAACGGAAAACGTTTTCAGACGTAGGTTTCTGAACGAAATGCTCTGCATAGACCAAATGCATCAGCAAGGACCTGATCGAATTGAACACATTCTTGCATGCTTCACATGTGAATGATGTGCCCTCACTGTGCAGGATATAGTTCCCATGCATATATACATTAATGATGTCCGCCTTGTTGGATTTAATCTTTGCATCACCCACAGCAGTCTGATGCTCAACACTGGACAGGATATGCTTGATGGCTTCATTGATATCCTTGAAAGAGACATCACAGTATTCGCATTTCAAGGTTTCCCCCGACACAATCTTGTTCATCAACAATAGACCTTCATCCACATCTGGGTACAACGCTGAACGGATCAGCTTAGCTATGGTCTCCACATGCAAATTGCTTTCAAAATGCTCAACAATAGCAGCAAACGATGGCAAGGCAACATACTCCGGGCAGATTGTACATATGTAGTGGTTGCCGAAGCTGGCGAAGTACTCGGCGGGTCGACAATGGTTTTTGTAGAGCATGGTCAGCTTATGTGGAGCGGCGTTGCGTAAATGCTTCTTCTGGCGAATATGGTTGAACAGAACCTGCCTCGGACCCTTCAGGGTCATGTCACAGCAGGAACAATAGTTGGCGATCTTCCCTGATGGTCTGATGAAGTTCTCTATTACTACATGATCGCGATTGTTGAGCGGTTTGCCCACAGTGGCTAGGAACTTGGTCCAGTCGAGCGATTTAGGTCCCCACTCGTCCGGGACCGCACCGTCTGGATTATTAGCTTTCATTTTCCGATAGAACTTATCAGACAGCTTACCAAGGTGATTCTCATCTAGGATATGCATAATTGTTGTTTCACTATCGAGGGATGTCTTGCAAAGGCCACAATTCAAACCATTGCTATCCTCTGTAACATAATGGCTGCGAAGGAAATCTCTGTTCATCTCTTTAATTTTATCCATGGTCGCAGCACCCATCGAGAAGGGTATGTTCTTGTCTGCCTGCAAGATACATGTGAGATTGTGGATATGAGTTTCACTAAAAACATGATTTAGAACACTATCATAGCGAAACCTCAACGTGTAGTACTCACACGCCATGCAAAAGAAAGCCAACTTTCCTGTTCGATCATCAACCAATGTCAGTAGTTTATGATTCAAGAGTAATTTAGCAATGATATTCTCTATTGGGCCATAATAGCGATATTTTTTTATCTGATTCTTCACTGGTTTCTCCGGAGCCTGGTCATTTTCTTCATTGTCAAAGTTCTTATTTGCGTCCACGGCAAAATTCTGATTCACGTTGTCCCTGATGCTCATTATGATTGGTGCTACGGAGCTCGTTTGCGCGGAGAAGTCTATTAAGGAAATATCCTTGCACAGTTTATCAAAAGCCTCCTGATAGAACTTTATCGCCGCATCAATACTGCCTTCGCAGTTATCAGGCAATACTCTGATTAATGTCGCTTCTAATTTAGCGGAGAAAGAACGTTCCAATTTCTCCATGGGCTTCATCATTTGGATTATTTGTTCCATGTTTTGGTTGTCGCCACCCTCCATTGCTGAAAGTCGTCGCGACATCTTGGGAAGTACGATTGGTTCAGCCACGTCAATGCTCTCGCGTTTCAGCTTCGGTAAATGCGCTTCTAAATTAAAATGCTTTTGCAAAGATTCCATGAGAGGCATGTCGTCGCATAGCTCTATTTCTACATTGCAGTCTGTACAAATATGCACTTGCTTTGCGTTGTCAATAGTTAGAAATTCAGCTTTCAAAATCTCAGGCACTTCACTGACTGGAAGACTGTTAAAGCGTTGCCTTTGCAAACTACTCTTTTTCTCCGTTGTAAATATATACTCTACCTCTACACCCTCGCGTTTCTTCAAGAAAATACTCTTATGCATCTCGTCTAAATTCTTCAAATAACGAAGCACCACGGGATTCCCTTGAGTCAACGGATGGTTAATAACATTCTGGAAGTGTTTAGCTAACTTTTTAACCTCATCCAACTTCCGAAAGGAAAGAACCGTCAACTCGGACATATCCTTAGTTATATTCTCTATGGATTTGTCCATATTGTTCATATTTCTAAATAAAAACAGTTTAATAAAATATTTATATCTTTACACTGATTTTCTACAGCTATATATGACCTGTCTTGGTGCAAACCAAGATTATCAAGTCTATTTTGCCAAGCTTATCAGAGCTTCTATGGCTAATTTAAGCGGTCTGGTGTAATTTTTGATATGCCCGTACTTTTACGCCAAATGCTTTGTCAATTTGTGCGTGTGGTGTTCTTTTTTGAAACCGGAAACGGTAGATAGTGAAATTTTGTTCTTAAAATGACTGTTGATTGAAGATTATTGCCGCATTTCAAGATCTGAAATGAGAAATAATAACTGTGAATATTAATTTATATACCTTTACACCGTACACCTGATGGTAAGTGCTTGCTATGGCCCATAGACATCTACATCTATCCTCGATCACAAATCAAAATTCATTGTCACCCGTGAGGACTAAGATGGAATGCCTTGTTTCTAGCAAAAAGGGTTTCCGGTCTTTTACACTCATCATACGAAACACAGCAACATTAAGATGCAATTTTATACTGATATTCTGTGAGAGTGTGGTTCTACCCCGGTTGAGCCGACCCATTCATACTACAACCATAATATAGTTGCAGCTTGGCCCCACCATGTGAATATGTAATTATATAACATATGCAAGGCCTAAATAAAAAGAAATAAAAAGTGCTAATGTAATACCATTTGGTATTCTCTCTTAGTATAAAGGCGGGGTGTGACGAAATAATACAATAGATTAGAAGTGGGGTCAAGTTAATATGGATAGAAACCACAACTTCCTGTTATGGACAATAATCATTCTGAGTGTTTTATTAAATTTTCATTTCAATTTATATAAAGCTTTTTTTTAATGAGTATTATAGTAGATATAATTTTATTTTTATTGTCAATTATTAGTAGGTTTTAGTGACAATTGTTTTTTTTAATTTATTTTCATAACATTCAAATATATACAATTTGTCAATAAAATACTGTTTAAGCTTATATTTAATATTTATTTCAGTTAGATCATGTCTATGATTGAAATATAATATAAAATTATGTATGGAAAATTTAGGTTAAACAAGTGGTAAAATGAACTACTACTATAATAACTACAATATGAATAGAATGAGAATTCCCCTTGGGTTTCGGGGGGGTTTTTTTTTTTTTTTTTTATCATCAATGTATTCGAAGTTAATTAAATACGCATTATTAAGGATAACTCAAAAACTACATGTCAAATTTATATGAGACCACATGAGATGCACCACCTTTCAAATAAAAAGAATAATCAAAACTGGTCCACCTAGAAAAAAGTTTCGTTACAATGAAGAACTGGAACGGTACTTAAATAATATGGCTGCGGATGATGAGAATGTACCAGAGCCATTAGAGGTTTCTGAAAATGAAGATAACATCTCCGTGCATTCCGAACAAGACTACATTATTTCCAGCTCAGACGAAGATGATGTGCCTTTGTCACAGCTTCGAGGGAGTGTTTTGAGATAAGAATGGACATGTTGGGTCTGTTTCAACTCCATCATCAACTAGAACACCTCAGCGTAATATAGTAAACATACAAAGATCTTCGTAAGGCCATTCTAATATTGAAACAGAAAAACATGCATTAATGATTTCGATCTCTAAACCTCTCGACATTGGGCATGGCACCTGTTATTTATAATAAAATCCCAAATTATTTAAAAAAATCAACCCATAAGAATATTTAAAAAGAGTCCTACCTCTTTACTATTCGAGAGGTACTATTACTCAATATCGGACTTTTTAAATAATACCCGTACTTAAATTAAGTTAATTAATTGTTTGTATTATGCTATTTGTTTAATAATACAATACTTTTAAATATGATAAATGATGATGTAATTAGTTAAAAACTATTAGAGAATTATTGTCAGATGTTGCAAGAGTTTCTGGTTCCAGCTCTTCAAGAATTTAAAGGGTACAATTCTAGGACGTGGTATCAACAGTATGGAGCCACTTGCCACACTTCTACAATCTCAATAGACATGCTGAAGAAAATGTTTCCAAGAAAACTCATATCGCGAAGAGGAGACATTGAGTGGCCTCCAAGGAGTCCAGATATCTTTCTCCTAATGATTATTTTTTGTGGGGTTACCTAAAAGCAAGAGTCTATGAAAATAATCCAACAACAGTTGAAGAGTTAAAGCAAAACATTGTGCAAGAAATTAACGCTATTCCACGAGTAATTTGTCAACGTGTTTTTCAAAATCTGCCTGTAGAATATTCTAGCAAATATCGTTCCCGACCGACTAGGTGTAGAAAGTTCGAGTGTGGAGTTTTCTAGAAAGCTTAGTTCCCCTATTCGACACTAGATGGCGCTAGGGCCATGTACCAGGCATCAACTGTGGCGCGCAACACTATCTACTATGTACAATAAGGAAGAGATCAATGTCACAACTCATAAGCCAGTTATAATTGATAACCACAAAGCGTCAAAGGGAGGCGTCGATACCTTTGAGAGAATGATGCACAATTACACGACTGCGAGGGGTACTCGACGCTGGCCTCTTAGGTTTTTCTTTGAATTGTTAGATCAAGCAGGGATCAACTCTATGATTCTCTATCTAGAAGCTAAGCATCTAAACACGCCAGCTAATAAGTTTAGAACCAATTTCCTAAAAAAAACTAGCATTGCAGCTAGCTGAGCCGCACATGAGACGACGCCTGGAATCAAATATACCTCGACAACTATCGCGAAATATAAAGACCATTCTAAATATCCTCGAAGAAGTTCCAGCAAGTGAACCCACCGCTAAATTGCAAAAGCTCGCTCGATGTGCATTGGGTCCTCAAAAGAATGACATAAAAAGATTTTTTTGTTCAAAATTCAAAAGACCTGTATGGCCCTGAACATCGTGTGGAAATTTGTTTCAATTGTGTTTAAGTTGCCAAAAACATTTTTTTACATCTAATTTCATTCAGTTACTGATTGATTTAAAGAAGAGTTTTCTTTTAGTTTGTTTCAAGAATAAAGTTTTATTCATCATTAAACAAATGTTTTTTATTCATTTTATTATCACGGGGTAACGTGAAACCCCTGTTACTTTTAAATTACGTTACCATAGTGGGGTTATTTAAAACTAAGAGTCATCAGTTTTCATTTTTTATTATATATATCATTAAAGTGAATTTGAACAAACCTCCACGAAAAAGATAAAGAAAATATATAATGTGGTTAATAAATATTGCCCAGAGTTGGGAGAGAAGCTGAAAACAGAAGGGAGAGAAGCTTGGAGTCAACATAAGATAACAAGTTTCGTGCTATTTTAGGCGTTTTTTTTTTAAATTGCAGAACTCTTGATCTGCTTTAATTAATCTTAGTTTATGATGGTTTCAAAAGTAAGTGATTAGTAGTTTAGACTCATATGTGATTTCCTTAAATAAATTTGAGGAGAATCTTCCCGATCTGGGTGGTGTTCCCGTTAATCCTTGTCCTCCCTTATCAGTGGATAACAGTAACATTGAACACATTAATCAGAAAGGACAAACAAAGCAGTAGTCATACAATTAGCCTACAAAAAAGGTTGGTAATAAACACAGCACAACCTTTACTATCGATCCAATCTATATATACCCACCCTAATTATGTTGAAATAAAGTATAAATACTCTGATGACGATGCTTCACCTTTTATAGTTCATGTGAGTAAAGTAGTAGTAGTAGAGTAGTAGCGAATGACTTATCATCCCAAATGGTGTTAAAAACCTATTAAATTTGGCAACTTCCTTTTTCACAATAATATCAAAAATATTGATTACGCTGGTGTAGTAGGAAGTAACAGAATATCTGTAGAATTTAAAAGTACAGCCGATGCTGATACTTTTATCAATCATCCAGCACTTTCGGCAGCCAAATATGAAACAGTGATACCCTCATATAACATCACTCAAATGGGAATAGTTAGACAGGTTCCTGTAGAATGGGCATTAGAAAAATTAGTCACTTCCATTAAAGTCCCCTCTGTTTTTGGTAAAGTTATCAAAGCACGCCGACTAAATAGACGATCTGTTACCGAGAGCAATAATCCAATTTGGACCTACACTGTTGCTTTGACTTTCTCAGGACAAAATTACCAACTCACATGCATACATCAATGCCCATAGAGACCTATATTTTACCTATCATCCAATGCCATAAATGTTGTTGATTTGGACATATAACTTCCCCGTGTAGGTCTTCCCCTCGCTGTTTTATATGCGCTCAAAACCATGAAGGAGTATCTTGTTCTCGCCTAATTACTACTTGCTTATTTTGCTCTGATTCTCATTCTGCAAAAGATTCTTCTTGCCCTGAACACTCCAGACAAAAATCTCTAAAATTAGCAATGTCTCAAGAAAATACTTCTTACTTGGAAGCCTCAGCAAGATTCCCTCCAGTAAAATCTTTTGCAGACACCACAACAGCTCTCAATCCTAATATCCACCTAATCTCCCATATTGTGCTAAGTGATCCCTGTACATCAATACCTTCCTCATCCCAAATCTCCTACCACAGAAAAACTATATTCCATCCCAGACATTCTCCAAATCCAGCATCAGCTATTGGAATGAGAAATCTGCTCATCATGCAGTTACTGGAACCCCAGCCTCTTCTTTATTTATCTAACACCGGTGTTTGTCATTTGTTCTAGGTAATGCAACAGATAGATTTGTTAAAGCTTATTAGTGTAGTGTAGTAGATCAAATGTTAATATAATTCTAGGAGAAAAATTAAATCTTTGTATTATCACACTCTTATTTTAATTAAACTCATCAGCTTTCATTTTCTACTTAATATGTCATTGGGGAAATATGATAGTGAATATTCTCTAATGCTGTACTTACACAAAGGGCCTGCTTGACCGGGGAAGGACCATGCTCTCAGCGTAAAATAGCAGCTTAATGCCGCTGTGTTTCGTATGGTGAGTGTAGAGATCCAGAGACCCCTTTTTACAGGAAACGAGGCATTCTTCCATCTTAGTCCTC